GGAACCTGGGATGGAAGGCAACACTTTGGAGTTCTTTGTGCCTCCGTTCCCTCTTCCTTTCCTTGGGAATAGATGCCCTCAACCATTATTTCCCCAAGAGCCGGATTCCAGGAACTTAGCAGTGAGAAAGTTATTCTTTCTGCTTCTGCTCGAACACAGAAGGTCTCACTCCATGCCCGCCTGTATCTGATTCCAACCTCAGCTCTCTGGCTGCACTGCTGTCCATCTGAGGATCTGTCACGCGGCTCTCTCCTCGCAGCGTTTCCTGTTATGGCTTATTGTCATCATGTCAGTGTGTGGCTCTGGTTTTCCACTCCTGATGGTGAGATCAAGTTTCCTTGTAAAACGTAAGCAAGAAAAATGGGAATAACACACCAGACTGGTGGACAGAGGTGTGATTAAATGGGAAACACAGCGTCGGAGGTTGGAGTTTGGGAGACACCCGTGTTTCAGAAACTGTTTGCTTAAGTTGGGTTCTCACCCAAAATGTTTTGTCCGATTCTTGCCCTGAGACGTTCACACGAACCTGGGTTGTGCCCATGTCGAGAAAGGCAAGGATCTCTAGATGGAAGGTGAGGATACCGGATTCTAGGGATTGCCTGTAGTCAACTACCACAAACCAGGGCGCCTGGGTGGCACAGTCGGCTTCCGCTCAGGTCATGATCTCAGGGCCGTGGTCCGAGCCCCACGTTGGGGCTCCACGATCAGCGGGGAGTCTGCTTGAGATTCTCTCTCTCCTCCCCCTGCTCACTCGCTCTCTCTAAAAATAAATAAATAAATCTTAAAAAAAATAAATGAATTGCCACACACCTCGCGCCTCCAACAACAGAAAGGTATTCTTATATTTCTGGAGGCCAACCCAACAGACACCCAGTGTCAGTATCCGCGGGCTGAAATCAAGGGGTTGCAGGGCTGCACTCCCACTGGAAGTTCCAGGCGGAGGGTCGTTCCCGCCGCCGCCAGCTTCTGGGGGCTCCAGGCGTCCCTTGGCATGTGGCTGCACCCCGCCCGGTCTCCACCTCCGTGGTCACGTGGTCTCCTCTGTGTCTGTGTCAAACCTCCCTGTGTTTCTCTCTTATAAGGACACTTGCAACAGTACTTGGGGCCTACTAGGATGGTTTCCTCATCCGATGATCTGAATTTCATTGTATCTGCCAAGCCTCCAAATAAGGTAAAATTCACAGGTTCCTGAGATGAGAATGTGGACATATCTTCGGGGGCTGTTATTCAGCTCATCAGAAACTACCCTGGGTTTGTGACGAGCAGAAAAAGCTATTCTGGGGCGCTGTGGGGACAACAGGGGCCGTCTGACCATGGATGGTGGATTAGATCGCAGCTTGGATATGACTGAAGACCTTGCCTGCAGGAAATACGTTCATGTGTTTAGAGGTGAAGTGGTACCATCTCTGTGGCTTATTCTCAAATATCCACTTACATAAAAAGATTACCTGTGTGCCTTTTTCCAGGTATGATGTCAACAGTGCACACGTCAGGAATACAGCTCAATTTTCACAAATCTGACACACAGGTGTCCCAAAAAATGCCCAGCCCCTGACAGCCCCCCACACCTCTCATCGCTGGCCCCCAGGGTGATACCCCCATCCTGACGCCTCACACCGGCGTAGTTGGTTTTGCCTGTTGTAGACCGTGACACAAATGGACCTCCTTTGGGGCGCCTGGGTGGCTCAGATGGTTGAGCGTCTGCCTTCGGCTCGGGTCATGACCCCAGGGTCCTGGGCATCAGGCTCCTGGCTCGGCGGGGAGTCTGCTTCTCCCTCTTCCTCTGCTTCTCCCACTGCTCATGCTCTCTCTATATATATATCTCTGTGTTTCAAATGAATAAATAAAATCTTTAAAAAAAAAAATGGACCTCCTTTGTGTCAGGCTGCTGCTACTCAGCATCCTGTCTGAGACGCGTCCACATTGTTGTTTCCTGGGCACAGAATTCCCTGGTGGGAATTCGCTACGGTGTATTTACCCATCCTCCTGCTGATGGAGAGCAAAAAGAATATATAGAATTGGGGAACGCAGGAATAGGGTGCCCACAGTGCTGTTCTTACAGGCTTGAAGTCTTGAAAAACCGCAATGAGACACCACTTTGCCCCATGAAGATGGCTGGAGCCCAAACGGGCAATCACCAGCGTCTGCAGGACGTGCAGAGATCGGAACCCTGGCGCACTGCTGGTGGGATGCGGATGGGACAGCCGCTGTGGAAAACATCTGGCAGTTCCTCAGAGAGCGAAACATAGAATTATCGTATGACCCAGCAGTTCTACTCCTATTCATATAGACGAGAGAAATGAAAACACGTCCACGTAAAAACCTGTACACCCAGGTTCAGGGCAACACAATCCACAGCAGCCAAAAGGTAGAAACAACCAAGTGTCCGTCGATACATAAATGATACAGACCACGCGTCCACCACGGGTGGGAGCGTCCCTCAGCTGCGGACAGGAGCCAGGCGCCCACACGCACTGCCCCAGGGACGGACCCCGAGCCCACGACGCTCAGGGAGGGAACCAGACACAGACGGCCACACGGGGTGTGAGTCCACGTGGGTGACA